ACTATATAAACTATAAATTTATAAATCCGATTTAATAAATAGTTTTTACAATATGATATATGTTAAAAAATATGCTCTAATACAGATTGAGCTGTAAACAATTGAAATGGTCTAATAAATATAGTGACTCAAGTAGATGGTTGTTTGCCTAAGACTTTTTATGTGAGGGTGAAGTGTGAGTGCAGTATAAATAATTGAAATTTTTTTTTGTTTTTTTAAACATCTTCACTTCCAACAAGGCTGCAAGCAATTACTAATAGAGTTAGAAGTTACTAAGAAAAAAAAGATAAAGTTTATAAAGCAAGATAACGATTAACAGACATCTTAAAAGATTGCAAATTATATGAATCAGAAGATGAAGAGAGCAAATTCTAAAAAACTGATATTCAAGAAAAAAAAACTAGACAAATAAGAATTTTTGGATCGCTTCGGAACAGTTACAATAAAATGATAAGACTTAAGAAGTAACACAAGAGAGAAATTTAGTAGATGGATTAAGAGATGCTAGCTCTTTAAAGCAGCACCCGTTATAGTATTTATAGAAAAGAGAAAGAGAAGCAACATTACAACAATGTGATAATGGTTAAAGGTTGGCTACAAGACCAGGTCCAACTATATACAATTCATTTTTGTACCTTGTCTAAAAGAGAAAGGGCATAGAGATAAATACGATAAAGAGATGCAACCTATGGTTTTCAAAAAAGATCCGAAGTAAGAGTTAACCCTAGATGACAAAGGGTAGATGACTCATCAAGTCCATTTGCAATAACATTTAGCTGAAAAAAATTGAGTTTTATCCGAGTTAATGTTCACCAGCCACTGAGAGCCCCATGCTGTAGTAGAAGTGAGATCTATTCCAAACTCAAATGCCCTCTCCAAGCAATTAGAGAGATAATAGATTTGCCCTTATTATAGACATATTTAAAAAATCTCTGGAGCCTATTTTTTGAGATGAAATATAGGATTTTGTTACCTGAGAATAGCAGGTTTTGTTGTTAGACAAAACCTTTTTACAATAGTTTCTAGTTATAGTAAACAGACATCTGTTTGATATGGAATATGGAAATAATAGTTATGATTGGAAATTCATGCAGCACAATGAGAGAAAAACCATTCCAGCCTGAATCCAAGAAGTTACATAAGAAGCACATTTGTCAGCAGGAAGACAAAAGATTTCTACCCGAAGCGACATAGAACAAAAGAGAAAAGTGATTGTGTGAAGTGGTGCTAAATGAAAGCACATAAAAGAACTGTCTGTGGATTCAAACCTAATTTCCTGATAAATGGGTGTATTGTTTTGAATGTAAATGTCTAGGGCAAGCATGCGACTATTGGAGCCTTTATGCATTAAAGGAAGATCAAACCATTCACACTAAGATCACAAGATGAGACGACTGAACTCAACTCTCACAAAGAGCAAGTAGGTCTGTTAAAGTTTGCAAGAGGTAAAACTCAACAAAAGAAAAGTTACTTTAAAGACCACGAATATTAGTAAATGATAGAATTAGATAACGAGGTTGTGACAATGGTTTTTTGTGTTTTATATTTTTTTATACTTTTTGAATCGGTTAAAGAACTTGACTCAAAACATATATAGTACACAGTACACTATCTATTAGTCCAGCAATTGCCTCATTACTATTAATAAACTTTAAACTATAACAAAGAAATAAAGAATTTAAAAACTAAATATAAAACTAGATTAGACAATTTGTTTTTACTCTTTGATAAATTGTAGTTATTTTGAAATAACTTGTACAGTGTTACAAGTCAAGTTTATTTTTTAAATCTAGTTTATATATACCTTGTTGAGTAACACTATGTTTAGGTTATATTGTTAATTTATTAACTTTTCTTAAATCAACTTATGCCTCTTTTAGCTTATATGCTGTATAATGGTATACAGCATATGTACTAATAGTTTTATTACAAGCATATCTTAATTTGCTCATGTATTTTTGTGTGGTTTGCACTTTTTTACTTTAGCGTTAGTTTGCTTTGTTACTTATTTGGTTTTGTGTTAACTCCAGCTCATGTTTGTGTTCTGTTAGTTTGCTTTTTGGTTAGTTTGCTTAGTTTAACTGTGAGTATATTAGTGCTACTTCATAACTCACAAACCCAAAATAAAACTTTCTTTAGTTTTTTTATGATTCTAAACTCTTGTGTTATTAATATTTCTCTGCCACACACCTGCCTCTAACTGATTTGCATCAATAAAAATATTACTTTTAATAACTTCATCAATTAGTTCTTTATTTTATTTAAATATTTTTATAAATTAATAAGTAAGCCATTAGGGAGATTTTTATCTTTCACCAATACCTTGGGAAAGGTAAACAAGAGCATACGCAGTTGTTTCAATCATACACAACTTAGTGCCTACATCTGTTTAGGTATACATTGTTTTACACATGCATAGATTAGCACATACTTTATTATTACCATATGTTTGTTTATACACAAGTATATGCTTATTATGGTTGTTTAGGCTTTATTTGTTGTTTTGTTTTTATGATTGATAAAACAAGTATATGCTTATTTTGAGTATATGCTTATTATAAGTATATGCTTATTACTATGACAAGTATATGCTTATTATGGTTGTTTAGGCTTTATTTGATTGTTTTGTTTTTATGGTTGATAAAAAATTAATATATTAAGTTATTTATAATGTACTTATGCTTGTTTGAGCACTGATTATGGCTATGCTTGTTTGAGCACTGATTATAGCTATGCTTATTTGAGCACTGATTATAGTTATGCTTCTTTGAGCACTGATTATGGCTATGCTTATTTGAGCACTGATTATGGTTATGCTTGTTTGAGCACTGATTATGGTTATGATTGTTTGAGCACTGATTATGGCTATGCTTATTTGAGCACTGATTATGGTTATGCTTGTTTGAGCACTGATTATGGTTATGATTGTTTGAGCACTGATTATGGTTATGCTTGTTTTCATTTTAGTTAATGTTAGTCCAGGACACAAAGCTTCTTGTACTTTTCACTTTATAAACATATATTATAAACAACTTGTTTCTGCGCAGCAACCTTGCCTCTAACTCTTTAAGTTCCAAACATAAACCTTTTATCAAGATTCATGTTTGGAACTTAAAGAGTTGAGAGAGGGTTGTAACCATAATCGGGTGGCATCAATGGCTGTATTGACCTTCTTGGCCTTGGGGAGGTGAATAACAATATATATATATATATATATATATATATATATATATATATATATATATATATATATATATATATATATATATATATATATATATATATATATATATATATATACTATAGCAGCCAAAAGTCATGGTTACAGCAGTTTTATTTTAGAGTTCAATACAATTCTTGTCATGTAGTCATTTATTTAGGCTTTTAGTATGCCCAGAACGTGTCATCGTGAATGTGCTATTAATAGAACACTGTCTAATTAAAATAATAAAAGTGACTAAAGTATTAATTATTTTTATAGATTTTGCTGAATAGCCATGAGTCAATACAACAAGCTGAGCATTCAGGACAGAATGGCAGCCTTCGTAAAGGCAGAAGAAGGGAAATCTTATCGGGTGATCGCCAAAGAGATGGGCATAGGTGTAAATACTGTTGCTAGAATAGTAAAGAAGATGAGACAGACGGGTAGTGTCAGAGATTTACCAAGGTCTGGGCGACCGAAGAAAACCACACCGAGGATGGACCGAGCACTGATTCGGATGTGTCTCGAGAATCGTCGCCAGACAGCCGTTGACCTGCGCGCTCGATTGCAAACTGAGATGGGGGTCGTTACAGGTGCGAGTACCATACGACGCAGACTGAAAAATGCAGGTCTGCATGGCAGAGTTGCAGCCAAGAAGCCTCTCTTATCTAAGGCTAATAAGTTGAAGAGACTGCGATTTGCGAAGGAGCATAAGGACTGGACTGCCGAAGACTGGAAGAAGGTGCTTTGGAGCGATGAGAGCACCTTTCAGCTTTTCTGTGGAGCAAGGCGAGTCTTGGTTAGGAGGAGAATAGGTGAGAAGTATCACAAAGACTGCATTGCTCCAACAGTAAAGCATGGAGGGGGTTCCCTCATGGTATGGGGTTGCATGTCTTGGTCGAGAGTAGGGCAGTTGTACCGCTGTAACGGTACTGTAAATCAGATCGAGTACCTTAACATCCTCAAAAATCATATGCTGCCTTCTGCTAGAACCATTTTTGGTGCGAACAGGAGGTTTGTATTTCAACATGACAATGCACCTTGTCATAAGGCGATGACAGTGTCTGATTTTTTGAGGCATGAGAATGTACAGGTGATGGACTGGCCTGCTCAAAGCCCAGACCTCAACCCCATAGAACATATGTGGGAAATCCTCTTCAGAAAGGTGCAGGATTCAAAACCAAGCACTTTTGACCAGCTTTGGCAGTTGCTTGAAGTAGCGTGGTCGCAGATTTCAGTTACTCAGATTCGAAATCTGATAGAATCAATGCCGCGCCGTATTAGAGCCTGCCTTCGCGTGCATGGTGGACACACTAAATATTAAAATTTTGTGTGAATTTTATGTAAATATGAATTTATTTTGTTATTCTTGTCAATCTTTGATGTTTTAGGTAATAAATATCAATCTATGGAAGTTGTTTTCAATTAAAACTGGTAAAACTGTAGTTAAAAACCACTGTAACCATGACTTTTGGCTGCTATAGTATATATATATATATATATATATTATATATATATATATATATATATATATATATATATATATATATATATATATACATATATATATACACACACACACACACACAACACTTTTGTAGGAGTTTTTATAGAAGTTAATAGAATTTCTATAGAAACTCTTTCAAAACCTTATAGTCTATATATTCCTTAGTGTAAAAATCAAATTAAAATCAAAGGTACTTTTTATCCTCAAAGTATAGGTAATCCAAAAAATAGATAATGTTCCAATTACTTGGTTTTTTTTAGGAGATAATAATTTTTTATTTATTTGTTTTAGGCAGAAGATATTGAAATCATTTTGGAAGATGAAGCATTGAAGTTATATGATCCCAAGTCAAATACTGTGCTAAACACCCAACCAATTTCCAAGATGCGAGTTTGGGGAGTGGGAAGGAGTGAGCCGAGGTGATAACTATATATATAAATAATAATTCAAACATAATAATTAATAACTATATAATAATAGTACAAAACTCTAGATTCTTTTAGAGTGCTCAATAATAAAGAACATTTAAAACTTTACAAATAGAACAGTTTATATATATATATATATATATATATATATATATATATATATATATATATATATATATATATATATATATATATATATATATATATATATATATATATATATTCCTGATATAACTCTCTAGCTTTACAAATTTCTTATTTGTCTCTGTATGGAATGATGTTGTCATATTTGGGCTGGTTTTTCTAATGATGCTCTTTCTCTTCTAGACAAAGTCCAAAAATTGTATTAGTTGGACCTACTTTATCTGCTAAGCTTTAGTCACTCTCTCATTGTCTTATTCACCCATCATCTTATTCTCACTTAACTCGTCCTTTGGTAAAGTTGCATCCTTTTATTGTATCTGTCTTTCATGCTCAAAAAACTTCTGTTCATCTCGTTTTTATTTTCCAAGCACAATAATGCTTTGGAACTCTCTCAACTTTATGTTCTTCTGGCTCATACAACCTACAACGTTTCAAAACTTTTGTCAACTGTTTCTTTGCTTTTTAAAATGATAAAAAATTGTTTACTTACTTTTAGTTTGATTAACTGATAATTACTATATATATATATATATATATATATATATATATATATATATATATATATATATATATATATATATATATTATATAACAATAAATGCATGTTTAAATAAGCAGTCTGATGTCATATCAAAATAACCTGTTGTTCGGGGCTTCAGAACGTACCTTGACTATCTTATAACCTGGTGCAGATAGGAGTGTTGCTACATATGATAAGGGTTTGGGCTGAGGAAGCAATCTTTTCTTTCATTATTCTTTGTTCTTTTCTTCTTTTTCTGAAAAAGCCATATGCTACAAGGGTAAGCAAAAAGTGTAAGCAATTGCTTATCCTTTTAAAAATTTAAAAATCAAGTAGAGTTTGAAAATTTTCTTGAATGTATTTTTTGGATAGGAATTTTAGAGCTAAAAGATTTTATTCAAATTGACAAGCTAAGATAAAATCAAACTTGAAGATTTCTTAGATGATCAAGATGGTCCAAGAAATTATTATTTAGGTACTCTGACTCTACGTATATCTGCTTTTTTTTTTTGCCTGTCAGAATCTGCATGGTGTTATTTATATTTTTTTAAATTTGAGAAATTGAAGGATCTATAAAATTGTTTTTGCAGTTTTGTGTTTGATCTCAGTTATGTGATACTTCTGGCAGTCATTAGGTTAGGCTTTCTCAAATGGGTTGAAAGTGATAGTTGGGCATCCTAGGATATGGGTAATATTTCTCGGTTATATATTTTATCTTGAACAACAAACTTTTTTAACAAGTATTAATTGAAAAAATTTTTTGAAAATGCAAATGTCTTTTTTCTTGCTATTGTAAAATAAGAGTAAAAAAATATTTATTCGAGTGACAAATGTTTTTATCATTTCAAATAATTAAAAAATGTTTTGCTGTATTGTGTTATTGAAAAATAAATATATTCTGTATTAAAATAAAAGCAACCAAGGGTGTATGAATTTATGTCAGAATTATTTTCAACTATGCATTTTTTTTTTTGTTAGCAATGAGTTGTATCTTATTTGTCAATCATTTAATCGTTTTATCATTCATAATAACTATACCATATCAATAGTAAGTTGATTTTAAAGATAGCAATATTTTTGTAAAGAAAATTTAGAATATATTACTTGGAAAAGATGCATTGAAAATAATGGGAAAAAGATTTTCTACAAAAAGGTTCCTTTGTCATTTAAAAAATTTGCAAACAAAAAAAATCACAATATTTGTTAAACACAGGCTATTGAGGAAATTGTGTTAAAAGCTAGCAACAGTGGACAACTTATCCATAAATGCCATAACAAAAAGTAAATGGTTTATGCTTTAAAACAATTGTATATATATATATATATATATATATATATTATATATATATATATATATATATGCGTGCAAAGAGAAAAATTTAAGCTATCGAATAAATAAAGAAGGTATATAATTCTTAATTAAAAACAATATTTTCATCAAAATTTAAATAGTACTTCTAATTGCTTTATCACTTTAAAAGCAGGGATGTGGAATCGGAGTCGCGGAGTTGCGACAATTATACCAGAGTCGGAGTCACTAAAAAATATTGCGACTCCGACTCCGATAGTAAAATTTCTTGGAATTGCACGTGCATGTACAAAACATTCAATTAACCTTATGTTCATACTAAACATCAAAGAATGTTTTATAAATTTGTCAAAAAAAAATTTCAAGTTACCGGGCAATATTTTTTAAAGAATTCAAAGAATTTTTCAAAAATTTTGCTTTAGAGTTGGAGTCGGAGTTGGAGTCGGAGTTGGAGTCGGAGTTGGAGTCGGAGTTGGAGTCGGAGTCGGAGTTGTACTCAAAAAATTTCAAGAACTGGAGTCGGAGTCGTTACTTTTTTTTTACGACTCCACACCCCTGTTTAAAAGACCATCAAGTCATTTTTTAAATAACCCCATTGTCTAGCTTTAAAACCAAGTAAAAGGAAAAGAATTTTCCAAAATTTTAATCTTGATACTGTACTTAGAAAAAAGCTCTCTTTGAATCAATAGCAAAGCATTCAGGATGTTATATATTGGTTTCAAGCTAATAATGAAAAGCATAAATTTTTTCTAACCATACTGAAAGCCAGATAACATTAGTTACATTCAGTCCGATTCAAACCTCTGATTATTTTAGAAGTCTGCCACAAACCATAGAAATAAGACTGTCAACTGCATCTTCAAACAAAGAAATTTTTGAAAAATTGCTTTTCTAAATAATGTCCAAGATTAAAGGACGACTCTATTTAATGTTTGACTTTTTGGATTAATTATCGATTGTCATTAAAAACCATATAAATATATTAACAATAGTTATTCATTAAAGTAATTGCCATTAAAAACTTAATATGTCATATTTATTGTCATTATAAACTTATCAACAGATGTAGAATATGTATCTATTTTACATTCAAATAGGGATTTTGCCTACATAGCTCGAGATCAAGCAACTGGTAAACATAGATGTCATATGTTTCGCTGTCATGGTGAATTAACTGGACGTTCTATTACAAATGCTCTTCAAATAATTTGCAATCGTGTATTAGATGAAAAAAAACAAACAAAAGAACAAATTGGTTGTAGAAAAACATCAAACCTATTTCAGGCTCCTTCAAAAAGTATAGTAATCTTTTTTTTTTGGTTTGTTTTGATTTTGTTAAACTCTGGTCTAGTTTGGGTATTAAGATTTATATATTTTTTTAGCATCATCTGTTTTCAATGAAAAACCATATATAGAAGAAAAAAAGCGCTTCACTGCTAAATATGTTGGTCAAACAGCGGTGTCAAGTAGTACAGGTTTATTCACAATGCTTATAATATTATAAAGTTTAATTTTTGAATTAATTTTTTATACCTTTTGATACTTTTAAGAGAATTTTTTTATGCTCATAAAGTTAAATGTAAATAAATTTACTTTAATGCAGGCTTGTAGAGCCGTTATTTTTTTTACAATTTGGATCAGGTTCATTTGGTCACCTTTGGTCTGACATCAGAAATTTAAGTGCAGATCACCTGCTCAACATTAACCTAATTTATTGAAAATGCTGTGGTGATTTTGCATGTTACTATTATTTTTTTTTTCTTCTTTTTCCTTGTTTTTTGTAGATTTACTATAATCTTTGCTGTTTCATTTCTTAAGAATTTTCAATTTTGGAGTCAAGTCTTCTGCTCGTTTATCCAAACTTATAGTATTAAAATTTTGCTTTTTGAACTTCTTTTACACCAACCATAGAGTATCTTCAACAGCTACCTAAAATTAAAATTGAGACTAAATAAAGTATTGTTTTCATTTGAAAAGTTTGCTAATTTTAAAGTTCCATTTACTAAAATTTTTTTTTTGAACTTTAATAATAATAATAATAATATATATATATATATATATATATATATATATATATATATATATATATATATATATATATATATATATATATATATATATATATATATATATATATATATATATATATATATATATATATATAATGTTAATTTAATTTCTTATGTAGAATTTATTGTTTTTTATAAGTTAAAAAAAGTCTCAATAGTTGATAATATCTAATGATAAAGTAATGATATCGAAATCTAAATAATTAATACATGCTGTCCTTTATTAAGAAGATATTGATCTCCAAAGACTACAGCACAAAAAAATGGATACTCATTAAGACTGTTTCCCTTAGTTCCATAGTTTTTTTATAGCTTTATCAAAAGAACACTTTGAAAGTTGCTTTTTAATCAACTGTTCCTTCAACAGTTCTCAGACATGGACAGAGTTTCCTTGGGTGAGATCCTTAAAACTAAAACTTTTGAGTTGGTAGAAAGCCACAAGATTTTGCGGCTAAGGCTCCAACAAAAATTAGCGGATTCACAGCTCTAGCTTTGCTTCACAAGCCTGCTTTAATGTACATATAGTTACCTTATTATACATAAATTTACTTTAAATTTAAAATGCTTTTAAAGGAATTGATATTGTTAATAAGTGTGTCAGAGAGTTATCTGAAGGTAAGAAAACATCTGATTGGTGTTCTGTGCTTATCGAAGTAACTACATCAGAGATTAAAACTATTGATTGTTTTGTAAGAAACTTGATTTATTTTTTATTTTTAAAACTTTTTTTTAGTTACTTTTAGAAATTTTAAATAAATATTTTCAGTTTTGTATTTGGTTTCTAGAAACAACATTCGATATTAACACACAGAGTTCGTTTTATTTCTTTTCTTGGAGTTGCTCAAGATGAGAGGTCTTTAAATTTCATGTGTTTAAAGACGTTACAATTTTTATAATCATTGAATGATTATAAAAATTATAAAGTTATCAAATTATTAAATATGTTTTTAAAAAATTATCAAATATGTTTTTAAAAAAGTGTTTTTTATATTTAGATTTGCTGCATACATATTGGCTGTGTCTAAGGATGCTTATGCTTGTCATGTATTTTTTTGTGCTCCACATGCTGGGACATTAACCAAAGCTATAGAGCAGGCTTGTAAGGTATCGTTAACTCTCCAGCAACCCTTTTGTTTATTCAGACTATTTCTAACTTGAGCTTTCTTGGTTAAATTTTAAAAGAATCTTTGTTACTTATTTGTTTTTTATTATTTTTCTACTTTTCTATATTTACAGCTTCGCTTAGAAAAGATGATTCAAGGTAAAGGTTATGGTTGTTCAAACGTAAAAGATAGTAATCAAGTTCCTCCCCAGCAAGATAATCAGCAAGTTTTACTACTCAGCAAAAAAGAAAAGGTTATCTACTCAATACAATAAATCAACTAAATATTTGAGATTTTTTTTTTTTTTTTTACTCAACTTATAATATATCGGCAAAATATTTATTAAATTAAAATCAGTAAAAAAAAATGTCTCAAAAAATCAACTCAATTATATTTTTTAAGTGGCAATGTTAATATTCTCTTTGTTTTTAGCCAAAATCATTTACTTCCAGCATGTTAGGGGTTTTCAGTAAATTCAATAGACGTGAAAAGAAAAAGGTTAGAAAAAAGTTTGTAATATAGAATATTTTTATATTGAATAAGTTGTAAATTAAATTAGTTTTTATAATAGGTTTTTTTTTTTTTTTTTTTTTGTAAAGGAGAATCTTTTATCACAACTATCACCCAATGAAAATGAGTTTGCTATAAATTATTTTGGGTCTTGTATGGTTAATATTGGAACTGGCATTGAAACCATTCATAAGGCAGTTAATGTATGTATTTTAACTAATAGTTTTTGTTGTTTTAATTAAGCAAAATTCAAATTTTTTTCAAAATCACTCACTAGATAATTGCTAAATCAACAGTACATAGAAACAGTTCTTATGTGAAATCTAAATCAACAGTACATAGAAACAGTTCTTATGTGAAATCTAAATCAACAGTACATAGAAACAGTTCTTATGTGAAAATTTAGTAATGATTATTTCTCTTTATTTTTGATAGCTAAAATAGAAAAAAACAGGTGTTTTACCAAAAATAATGAATAATATGGTTTTATTTTTATTGCCAGATTTTCTGATTCAACAGTCTTTATAAATAAAACTTTATTACAAATATTTAAAAAAAGGTAAATACAATTGGGCCAACTTGATACTACTGGAAATAGGGGAACATCAACAACAGGTAGTATAGCTTAAGAACTAATAAACAATAAATTAAACAGATGTTTAATTATAACACAATTTCTTGTTCAATATCATGCAACATTTCAAATATTTGTTTAATATCATACAAGATTTCAATTACTTGTTTAATATTTGTTTAATATCATACAAGATTTCAATTACTTGTTTAATATAATGCAATATTTCAAAGGATTGTTGAATATCATGCAACATTCCAAATGTTTGTTCAATATCATACAATATTTCAATTACTTATTTAATAGCATGGAACATTTCAAATATTTAGATCAATGTTCTTAGTAATTTTTTAAGTACTTTTCTCAAAAAGAAGATGTTTATATAGATTAATATAAAAGCTATTGATTTTTTTTTTCTAGCTAGGGAATTTTTTTTTGTACAATTGGAAATTTATCTGTACAACGACTTAATGTACAATTGATCAATATAACATCACTGTACAAGCTAATTGCTCATTCATAAAAGCTTTATTGAATAATAACAAAGGGGGTTTGGGAAATTATATGTTAGGGTTAGAAGGCAATAACAAAATATTAGGATATTTACATCTTAAGAAAAAAATTCTCAAGTTCTCAATTAAATTGACATCATTAACCGAATGTGGAAATTATTTGATTCGATTATTTGTGATAAACAATGCAAGTCTAAGCCATCTGCAAATTTTGTAATAAAATAGTTCATTCCAATAGATGTTTCCATAAACAAGCTGTCTGTAATAATATTTTATTTTAAAATGAGATATTTTTAAATAATAATCTATAAATAAATTACATTTTAAGAAATTATTATGTTAAATTTTTGTTATTCATACTGTTGATATATTTTTATTATATTTGTATTACAAGTTATGCATACATAATTCCACATCATTTATGTTTTATTATAAATTACGCATACATAATTAAGCATTTTTTATGTTTTATTATTGTACCCAATAAAAAAACAAGTTTTATTAAATTTTAATTTTTCTTTTGGTTCTTTTAAAATATGACTTTACTGTCTTGATGCCAAATTTTTTTTTCCGTTACCCTAACTTTGCACATTAAAGTCTGTCTAAAAAAATATTAATTATCTACATTGAACTTTCATGATATGGTATTTAAAATTAATTATCCACATTGAACTTTTATGCATGATATTTAAAATTAAGAATATTTTTTTTAACATGTTAGCTTTTTTTTTTTCAAAAAGTTTTTATTTTAAATTTTTATAGACTTTAGTAGGAGGTGAAAAAATGACTGGTTTCCTTCAAGTACAATCTGATTGCATCACATTATCCGACTCTAATTGCACTGCTCTTTCTAAAAGAGTATTTGACATTAGTTCAATAAGTTTCTGTGGAATGGCAAGGTATATATATGTTAGTACTTTATATTTACTTTCGTTTACTGACCTATTTGGCTCAACTCAAATCAATATGATGTATATTTTAAGATATTCATTTGCATTTTTTGGTAACTATTTTTTCAATAGAAATGGTTTATAATAAAAAAAAATTCAAATTAAAATTGTTTAAATAAAATGTAACCATTATCTGATTTATAAATTTATTTTAATGTGGTGAAAAAAAAAAGAATATAGGAAGTTATGGTAACTTTATAAATATTTTTCTGAGCTTATTCATCACACAATTGAGCGCTCGCAAAAAATCTTATTGATAATTAGTCACTAAAATTAATTGCACTTAAAAAGAAAAAGTTAAACCTAATAATTACTTTTAATTTGATTGGTGTGAGGTGTTTTTTCTATCAACTATGATAACTTCGTTTTATATAAATAACTTTTATTAATGCATATGGTAAAACTTTCACTTTCAACTTGCTAACACTTTTATAATCAACATGGTAACGCTTTCATCTTCAACATGCTAATACTTTCACTTTCAACATGCTAATACTTTCACTTTCAACATGCAAACACTATCATCTTCGACATGCTAACACTTTCACTTTCAACATGCTAACACTTTCATCTTTAACATGCTAACACTTTCATCTTCAACATGTTAACACTTTCATCTTCAACATGCTAACACTTTTACGTATTAAAATTACGTAAAAAAATTATTGGACAATAAACCTTGAATAAAAATTATTTACATCAAAAAAACAACGACTATAATATTAAAAAAAAAAAAAATTACTCTACAAATTGCTTTTATCTACAGTTATTCTACAAGTTAGCTTTACTAAGTTACCCCACACATTTAACTTGTTACCCCTTCAGTTTTATTAAGTTATTACAACGTTTAAATAATTTAATTTTAAAATTTTATGAACTTACCCCACCGAGTTATTTTTGCATATTACACCAAACTAAAACTGAAAAACTCAATCAAAGTTTATTTTAGCTTATTACCTTAGGTTGTTAAGAAGGTTATTGTATAGTGGGTGTTAGATTTTTAATTTTTATTTTATTGTTATTATTATTATTATTATTACTATTATTGCTATTATTATTATTGTTATTATTATTTTGAAAAAAATTTCTTTTGAAACTATTTGTTTATGATTTTAACAAACTATGTTTCTTAAAAAATTGTTTAATAACAATATAACAATTTATTAAAAAACCCCCAGATATTTCAAATAAGTTATAGTTGAATTCACAAAATTTTGAAAATTATATATAACTATAAACTAATAATAACAATAATAATAATAAAAATAGTAATAATAGTAATAATAATAATAGTAATAATAATAATAACAATAATAAATACAATATGTAATTAATTTATGTTGCGTAGTTTATTAGCTGAAAACTGTGATTTAAAACGGTAATATACTACATATAAAGCAGCAAATGTAAAATTATAAATTCATGTTATGTTGCACTTTTTTATTTTTTTAATTTTTAGTGATCGAAAGCATTTTGGGATTATAGTATCCTCAGGCAAAAATAAATATTTGTGTCACGTGTTTGAAGAATGTAAGGTAGAAATTTTAGTTTTTTGTAAAATATATGTGCATTATTAACAACAACATAATGCAGCTAAAATTTTAGTTTTGCGAAAATATTTTTTTGAATTATTAGTTTCGAAAATATTTAAGGCAATTTAAAAAAAGTTAATGCTCCATTTATAATAGCACTGATTTTGAGATTTAATATATTAAATGCCAAAATCATGAAACTGAATTTATAGACGATTTAAGTAGTTTATCAAAAGACGATTTAAGTAGTTTATCAAATGATTTTAAACAATATTGTAATAAAAAAGGTATAACCTAGGCAGTTCTTTTTAGGAGGAGTAAAAAGATTACGGACTAAAAAATTTGACATTTAAAGCCTCGATAATGTTGCTCCAACAAACGCAGCTGTTTCATACCAGTACCTCGGTTACCAGTACCTTGGTTAAACTTACTTAAAACTTTAATATTATTTTTTGAAGCTTTTACAAAAAAAGTTTATTTTTATTATTTTTTGTTTAGTTTTTGTTGGTCCGTACAAAAGATTTTGTATGGACCAACACACGTTATGTTAGTCCGTACAAAAGATTTTTTTAAATTGTGTGGTCTAGCCTAACATTTTACCAATTGATTTAAAATGGTATGGGATTTTGAATATTTAGAAATAGCTTTTATTTTCAAATATTGTATAGATATAAATAGTTGGATTTCTTTTTGATTTCTGTTAACTTTTCGTCAAAGAGCACTGCAAAACGGATTTCGAGCACTTTCTACTTTCTAACGATACTAGTTATTTTATTAATGAGATTGACAAAAGCTCATTAATCAAATAATAATCTTTGTTGGAATTTAAATTGAAAGTAGTAAAAAACTTGCATTCTTAATTAAATGTTAATTAAATGTTTATGTTGTCATTTGGAATATTTCTAACTATCTTTTTATTGGAAAAGCTTTACAATTTATATTACTAGCTCTAAAAATACTGTGTCAAATTAACTAATCAGAGTTGTTACTAAAATATAAAGGCTACGAGGATGAGTAAATCAGAATCCAAAGTATCTATAGTTCGAAGTTACACGATTAAAGTTCTATGGTCAAATGAGCGAAAAAACTTCAACATTTACTGTTTCTTTTGCAACATTTACTGTTTCTTTTATTTTTATTTTTTCTCGAAACTGCCTAGGTTTTTACTATACAATCTGGTAAAGCTCTTTATTTAATAAATTAAATAAATCCTTCTTTTTACTGCAAAAAAAAAAAAATGAACTTAAAATTTATTTTGTTTTAGAATTACGGAAGTGTAGTGAGTGCTATCCAAGATGTTCTCTAGTTCAAGAGTCTTATTTGAATTATGCTATTGTTACTTGTATATTTAAACTGTTTTTATGAGTTTTTATAAGATATTTTAAAGTCCACAAAATCTAATGACGTTTAGAGTTGTTTGTTTTTGGTTAATTCTAATGAAGTGTATTAATTGTGCTAATGTTTCTTGCGTAAAAAAGCATTTCAATTAAAAGTTCTTGAAAATTGTTTTGTGTATGCGTTTTTATATCATATTTTATATGTGTAAATAATTTTTTTTCAAAGTTTATTCCAAATACTATAGTTTTATATTTACTTAAAATTTTTCTATGTTTAACTTGATTAAAACCTAAAAACTGTAGATTTTGCTAACGTTATGGTTATTAGTTTATAACTAAATTCGTAAATTTGTTATTTTTTTCTTTTTATCGTTCGTTTATGTTAATCTATGTAAAATATAACGCGTAAAATAATTTCTATAAAAAATCTTGAAGGAACAAATGTGCGTTTTCATCTTTTTTATCTTCACCGCCTCGTTTTAATATTTTATGTTATTTTCAATTTTGTCCTAGCTGGACACGAGAAACCGCTGTTCTTTTAAAATCAACTTTACTGCTTTAGTTTTATTTCTAGTTCATCTGTAAATTGTCTCGCTTTCATATACAAACTTTGTTTGGCTCTTGTTTTACATTAATAATATGTGGTGTGCCTTTTACAGTACCTTTTTATATTACCTGAAGAACAATAATGAAATTATAATTAAAACAAATTGCAGATGTCTTTGTCTATAATTGTTTTATGAGTAATATTAACTTGATGGTAATTTATAAAAATTTCGAAATTATTGGTATTGGTTTTTTTATTGTGTATGCATTTAACACTTCAAGTGGTGATAATCCGGAAAAAATATCCGGATGCTGAGGATGTTTACCTAAACGTGCATATATATATATATATATATATATATATATATATATATATATATATATATATATATATATATATAAAACTCACACACAAACACTGTTGAAAATGCAGGCGGGATAATGTTTAGGGTAACTAGCTTTATTAAAGTTATTTTAGTCAATAAAATTTTATTTATACGTTAAAAATGTTTTATTGCAAATAAATTTTCGCGTTTTTAGTGAATCTTTTGATTCAATCTCAATTAAATATACGTCAAAATACGCGCTTAAAAAAGCTAAGGCGAAACTATTTAAGAAATTCAACTCCCCTCGGTTTTAATAATCAGGGGGAAATAGTTAATTTTGAAAATTGTTAAAAATAGTTTTGGTTTCATTTTTAAAATTTTTAGAAATAGTTTTTTGTATTTTATTCAAACATAATTCATTTAAATTAACGATGTTTTCGAAAGTAAGGAAATCTTTAAAACTATGTGTATAAATCTAATTAATTTTTAAAAATATGTTTAATTTTTTTCCGTGATTTTTTTCACTTTCTCGGAGCTTTGTTATCAAAGTACGCTTTTTATATAAGTGATTTTTTGTGCTACTGATTGCGAACGCCAGACATTAAAAGACTTATATGGGAATAAACTTTATCTGACGAAATTGCATATTGCCTTTGACGACAAAATGATGGTTTTAAACAATTAAAATATTATGCGGTTCCGCAGGTTTTGTTAAAAAAAAATGGATGAGATATTTTTCGACAATCTATTCTCAAAAAATTAAAACATTTTTCAATTGATTTTTGTTTTATTGAAAAATCAAGTCTTTATGCTTCAAGACATTTTACTTGATAAAATAGTTTTGCCTGATTTTCAAAGCGGGTGTTTTTTTCGTTGCATTTCTTGAAATTAATTGATTGGTTGATAATGCTACTTTAACACTGTCTTTCAAATATCAAAGGCGGATTTTCTATATTTGGATCGCCATTTTGATTGTTGCGAGGACTGTTCAAATTTAATAATGATAAATCAAAGAAAACAACAACAAACCAGAACTATCACAAAATTTAAGTCGAAATAAATTTTAATTTTGGCTTTTTTCACCTTGTTACCAAGATTTTTTTATTTTTCTTGTAAAAAGTATTGAATGTTGTTTTTTTTTTAGGAAAAATTTAAAAGTTAGAAATTTCAAGACTTCCATCTTTTTGTATGCAATTAGATTGTACAAAGCTGGGTGTATATTCTTCATTGAAGAAGTGTTAAGATTTATTTTAATTATTGAATCAAAGTAATAGCCATAAAAACATTGTAATTAAAAATATTAGATTAAAAATGGGTTGTACTATAAGTCAAGTTGACAAAGAGGCAGTAGAGAGAAGTAAAATGATCGATAAAAATTTAAAAGCTGATGGAGAAAGAAATGCAAGAGAAGTAAAACTTTTGCTTTTAGGTAAGACTTTTTTTAGTATCTGGTTTTGGGAAAATACTTTTATTCATTATTGCCTAAATTTTTTTAGCTGTTTTCAATATTTAGATCTGTAATTATCATAAACTGTTTAATTTTTTTTGTTTATTCCTTAAACAAATTGTCTGTTATAAATGTAAGCAGACATGTTTTTCAGAAACCCAAAAGTCTATTAAAAGCTACTCCTACTTTTTACACAAAATAAGTATTATCAAAAGCTATACTTTAATCCTCAACATAGCTATAAAGTTTTTTCTTCATTGGTAACCATCTCCTAACAAAACCCTGACCTCAACCCTCAAGGTTAGATCAGAGTTTCATTAAGTTATGGTTTTAGTTAAGTTATAGTTTTCATTAAGCTTTTGCATAAATCTTTTTTACAGACTTACTAAACAGAGGTGCCTAAAATACATCCGCCTATATGTATATTCTAGATTATTTATATTAAATAAGTACATAATTTGCATATATTTGGTGATGACTATTAAATTATAGTACATAAAAAAGCTTAACAGTTTTTAAATAACTTGTCAACAAATATGATGA